CCTCTGATACAGACTGAATTGCTTAAGTAACGTGCCAGTACTAATGTTGCATCTCTTTCTGGTAATGGATAGTGATATCTTATTACTATTATTTGTTTAGTTAATTTGTGAAGCACTTTTCTGGTAAAAATGTTTTCACCTTGTTATATGAATTCCTAGATAGGAAGTTCAGCCTCTCTCCTATGTAAGTAATTATAAGGTATTAGACAGCCACTACCTATAGATGTCTCTGTAAGCTGTATCGAGGTATTCTCGTAGGCTTGGGCAGCGCTAAATTCTGATGTGGCTCACTGTACATCTCCCAACATTTTGTAAGAATGCAGCATTAGTGAAGATGTTCTGATATGGTGTCGCTACTGTCCGCATGTCTTCTCATGATCTTAACAGAAGTTTAACTGCAGTAAAACACTCACCTTTGCCAGAATAATTTTGGCAGCGGATGTTGCTACAGTACTCGTTTCTCTGTGCTTTAAACTGACAGCGTGTATTCAAAAATCTATAAAATACATCAATTGCTATCCTAACTTTACTCTTTCAAGTTGCTGCTGCAGTTATCATTGTAAGCTGTATTTTGTTTGACAAACGCACATAAAAGGATTTATTGTGTATCAAGTAAAATTGCTATTCCCATGTGGTGGAATACATGGAAAAGTTTAAAGCCTCTGGAGAACAAAGGCTGAGCCATTGCTTTGGAGAAGGGCTAAGACTCTTATTTCATGATGTCGTATTACCTCACATTTGCCACAGAAGAATCATGATTTGCTAAAATTAAGTAAAATGTAAGCTGATACAATGCTGTAAATAAGTGGTGGAGGTACACAAGGTCCACAGTGTGGTTTTGTCCAGCCTCCTGGGGTTGTCAAGTTCTGTAGAGCTTGCCCCAAGTCTGTTATGTGAATGTGTTGCTGCTCAGACCAACTACAGTCTTGCACTGGGCATTACTACTTTTATGGTCATGTATGTTTGCAAATCACAATGAAAGATTGAAGCCAAAATTGCTGCTCCTTACAGTGTTTTATGTTTGGACCCTGATGGTTCATTATGACTTTGTTTTCTTGGGGTACATCAATAAGGTATTACTGCAAGGTTTGATTAAAATCAATTTCTTTTCACAGACAAGTAAACAATGAAGTGATTGATACCTACTCACAAAAAATGACTCATGAGTTACCTAGATCAATATGTTGTAAAACTGTATGCTGCTGAATTATTTTTAGGAAGAAGAGGGTGAATTAATACATACAGGAGCTGTACAAATATTTATGTGTTAATTTTTTACAAAAGCCCTTACATTACAACAATATTGGGCTTTCAAAGTGAAGTGCTAAAAAGTGTGAAATGACAGAGGTAACATTGCTGGCATTGTTTTATTACTCTGTTGTGCACTTTAAATGCTGTACTTGCATGCTAGTTTCCCAAGCATTTTAAGTTCACTCACTAGAGCTGCTGAATTTTAGTTTTATTTTCTTTGTTTGTTGTGAGGTGCTGTACTTAATTTTTATACAGCTTTCAGACAGTGCTGAAGCAGATTTTTGTTTTATATTTCAATCGTACGTACGCAGCTGCTATTGGCAGCACCCAGTAGCTTCCCAAATGCAAATGTTTCTATACTTGCAACATGCCTGTGAGGTTAAGTATTTTGACCTCTGCTTTACCCATGCCGAGTTGAGGCATGGAAAGATTAAGTACCTTACTCAAAGCTGTTCAGGAAATCTGTGGGAGAGGTAGTTATGGTACCAACAGCGTCTCTGTAGTAGTTCTGTTTCATAGTTGTAAAATCATCTTCCTTCTGTGGCTACACTTTTGCCTCATTCATTCTCTATTACTGCTTCTCTCACAGTAATTATGAGAGAAATTGATATGGTCATGTCTCTGTGTTCAATCTATATTGAAACTCATAATGCACCATGTAATAGTTATGGATAAAAAGGAGTACAAAAACTGGACTCGAGCCTGAAATTGTTACACAGCTCTCCAATTCCCACATTCACAATGAAAGAAGCAGAAGTACTTCAGAACAATATATTACATGGCAGTCTTAAAATACATTGTAACTTGGAAGTGGTGAGGCTCCAAACTGTTGTATTTACTAATTTTTAGTATTTGATTAAGGAGTCTTTAAAAACTTAAGTTCCTGCAATGCAGTGTTTTTTCAAGCTGTTCTCTTAATTTTTAAAACATAAGCAGGAAAGGACTGCCCCAATTTTAATCTCTTGCTGTAAATACCACGTATGTGATACAGGCAGTAAAGCAGGAACCACTGGCATGCCCTGTACCACAACTTGTGTTTTATGGAAGAAGTCTCCTGCAGAGAGTTGAATCTTTCTGTCTCCGACACGCTGCTTTTTTCCTCATGCAAGTCTGCTTATCTTAGGGCAAGGCATAGCCCAGCTTACAAGCATTCCTGAGAAATGAACGCATGTGCAGGATCAATGGAATGGTGGCATACCACTAACAGTTCATGTTACAGAACCCATTTTGTAGAACGCACATTTTTATGGACAAAGTTGCAACCTGTCTTTGCAACCTGCCAAAGGGCATATCTTTGATGTAGACCCAATATGTCAACTTTGTACTTTGCAGCAGACTACAGCAGTGCTTATGTATGACAACGGCATTATCTCCATACGAGTTTTCTGCTCTTTGTGTCTGATAGACTAAGATAGAACACTTAAAAGAACAAAAGAAAATCTTTCAAGGAAGGAGAAGAAACATCCTGTCTTATAGTTGATCGTCATTTGATGTAACCGTATTGTTGTTTTCTGGTCATACATGGAACTCATTAAAATTGAAAAGAAAGGTTAAACACTTGAGTAGCTAAAGCAATTTGTAGTGATTCCTTTCAGTTGAAAAAACTTTTATACATTTAGTTTCACAAGAACTCTCTCAAGCTGTTACCTAAAGTCCTGAAATAGCGAATTCTGCCTCTTAATAATTCAATGCCATAAAATTCTGCATAAAAAATAATGAAATGAAAAATACTGAGACCAAAACGTGCTGAAGGATACTATGCCACACAAGTGGCAAATAGTTTTTAAGTAGGTTGCAGTGATCCAACTTTTATAGTTTGACTTCTAGACACAATCCTTTTGTTATTTGTAGAAGGCGGAAAGAGGCCTGAACAAAATGAGTGGAGGCTGCTCACTTTGGGAATGCAGAGCTGAGAAGCACAGACCATCTGCCTATGAAGGGTGATAGTTTATGGCAACATTTTAAAAGGATTTTTTCCTTTTCTGAATAGCTTGCCCTTATTATTGCCCTTTCCTGTAAGTCGTATTTTGAAATGCAGTTCAGTCCAGTCTCTGCAACTAGCTGATAGTAAAGCTGAAGAAAATCCCAAGAGTGAGAACAGTAGTGCTTGTTTGGTTATTCATGTGTTGGATTGCCTCTCTAGTATTTTTGTTCTTCTCCAAATTTTGTTCTGAAAGAAAGGTTTTCTTGTGTTCTTGAAGACTTGCGTGCTTTACGGTGCTATGAAGAGTCCTTGTGGTTCAGTTGACGTGCATATTGGGTGCCTAATGTTCATACCTAAATTCTTGTGTTTTTCGCAGTTGTCTCCTGACAGGATCCAGCTCTTAATTGAGAGCTATTCA